GGTATGGAAGGGTTGATGGTGGAATACCCCATCAACCCTCAAATAGATTAGTTTTATAATAAATGTAAATGCTCATGGAGGAATATGGAGACATTTAGTGAGTGGTATAATTAGAAAGAATATATTTAAGAGCGAGTGAGAGTTGAATGGGTTTAGATATAGGAACTGATTGCGTTGAGTGCTGAAATGACCTAGATGTGGTTCGTATCCGGAGCCCCCGGACTACCAGCCAAAAACCACCTGGGGGTGGATGCTTCTCGAGGCCTGCCGGAATTCATTGTAAAGTGAAAAAACTGGAATTGCAGGTGGTCTGCGATAAGTGATAGGCTCAAACCTGCCATGTGAGTGCATATGTACATCCATGAGCAGATTTGAGCATAAATATATCAGTAACTTAAAATTTCATAAATAAATAAATTATAATTTAGGCCTGGTAGAATTGATGGATTGAGGGAGAAATGATTTGATCAAAGACTAGTCTTGATTACCCCTGGAAAACTCTCCCACACGAACCCTGTTGTGGTGGTCACCGTAAAAAAAAGGTTTCTCAAGAGCTGTCGTTGAATTTTGAATAGGCGAAAAGTTTGTTCGACATAATCGTAATATGTTTTTTCTCTTAGCTCTAAATCAAGTACTTCTCCTCCTACGATCTAAAGTGCCGACACTGACACAGTTTATTATCCGTGTTGTTTACTTCTTAATTAGTCATCAAGTACATGTAAAATATGTAAATAATACAATTAATTAAGGTTTTTAGTTGAGATAAAGTCGAGCGTATGCACGAGCGGGATTCGAACCCACGATCTTCGGCTAGATACGCCGCTGCTCTACCCCTTGAGCTATCGTGACCTCGATCCGCTCGGACATTTTATCTCAACTAAAAGCCTTAATTAATTGTAATATATTAATTGGTCAAGCGGACCACGAAATTAGTGAATTAATGATTTAAAATGAAGTATACTTCACTAAAGCTCTCCGTGGCCATTTCATTTGTCGACGAAAATCCAATTCGATTACACGACATTTGAAAAATGGCAAAAAAGACGGAAAATTCAAAAGGTGGGGTTGAAGTTAGTGTCCGAGTGGATCGAGGTCACGATAGCTCAAGTGATGGAGCAGCGGCGTATCTAGCCGAAGATCGTGGGTTCGAATCCCGCTCGTGTCATTGACTTTTTTTCTCAACTAAAAACCTTAATTACTTGTAATATATTAATTGGTCAAGTGGACCACGAAATTAGTGAATTTATGTAAATAATCATCATCAGCAACGTTACCGTAGTAATGGTGCCAAAATGTATTAATTAATTTAAATAAAGGATTTGTTTAAATTTCTTGTAATCTTACAATAAACTTCCACACCGGTCTTCAAATAACGCTAGCGTCTTGCCCAAAAAAAAAAATAAATTGTAAGAAATGTTCGCACGCACATGTTAGGCTAGACAATTCTAGTTTTAATAGACTTGCCTGAAGGAAAAACGAAATTGATTGAAAATCAATTAACCGGAAATATTTATGGCGAATAATAACGATATCCGACCAACAAGACCAGGGAGATAATAGTCCTGTGAAAATTGCAAATCGGGGTGGCATTACAATTTACAATATTCCAATTAAAAGTTTCACATAACGCATTCCAAAGCCGTACGAACGATTAATTTGTGTACATCACTTTAATTAGCTTTGATAATCCTCTTTAATTTTCACCGGGAACAATAATCACAGGGATGAAGCGTGTAAAAAGGAGAAAGACCGGTTTTTGAGCGGTTTCAGGTTTGACATCACTTCATACGCAGGCATTCCGGAATAAGATATATTTTTGTTAGGCGACAGGGTCGCGTAAAACATCACTAAGTTTTATATCTACCTCAATTAACCTATTTTATATAAATATATTTTTTGTATTTGTTTATAAAGTATTGCTTGAGATAAAAAAAAGTCGGTGTCACGAGCGGAATTCGAACCCACGACCTTCGGCTAAATACGCCTCTGCTCTACCACTTGAGCTATCGTGACTTCGATCCTCTCGGACACCAACTCTCCATTTCAACCAAAACCGTTCGCATTTTTCCTCCATTTTGCCATTTTTCAATTGTAAATTATTATTAAAACAAAAGTAAATTTATTAATCTATTTTGTGATTTGAATATTTTTCAATTTCAATTTATTTTAATCAATACCTTACATAAAGATTAATTAATTAACAGAAGTTATTTGGTCAATCGGACCACGATATCTAATGGATTTAATAAGTAAAATGAAGTATATCTTCACTAAAGCTCTCCGTGGCCATTTCATTTGTCGCCGAGAATCGAATAGATTACACGACATTTGAAAAATGGTAAAAAGGAGGGAAAATTCATGGGAGTTGGTGTCCGAGTGGTCGAAGCCACGATAGCTCAAGTGGTAGAGCAGAGGCGTATTTAGCCGAAGGTCGTGGGTTCGAATCCCGCTCGTGTCACTGACTTCTTTATCTCAACTAAAATCTTACATAAAGTTTAATTATTGAAAGAAGTTATTTGGTCCATCGGGCCACGAAATCTAATGGATTTGTTTATGAATTTGACCCTCATAATTTTGATGGTGCCAGGGTTAGGCACGTAACGCAAAAATAACGAAACAAAAATCCGCATAAAAGTCCTAAAAATTTCTAATGTATCGAAGTAATGGAGGAGACAATCCGATTACACTACTAAAAAACAGTATTTAAAAATGCTAAATATACGTATGTATTCAGGGGAGGAGGTTTAGTCATAGGTTTAGTCATTGACAAGCTCAGCACTTTAAAGATAAAGGTCTAGAGTTCGAATCCAGCGGCCCGCATTTGTACCGCTTTTCTTTGAGTTTATGGCCACTGGAATTCTAGAGCAAAGAGAAGGTAGTACGACGATCGTCGCGTGTACGACGGCTCGAGACAATCGTTTTATTGCTCTGCCTACTACAACCGTCATTTAACGGCTTCCTTAATTCTATTCAACTCCAAACAGTCCGTAAGGGTGAGCTCTAAAACTGTCTTCAGACGTCTCTGTGGGAATCGCCTCGAGACCGGCAACGAGCAGGAAGGCGACTTTTCGCAAATCAGCATCTCCCTTGGACACTCGAACAATGGGGGAGGTCTTCATAGATGGATGCCTGTTTGTTTATGGCAATCAGATGATCGTGAACACGTGTGGTGAACGCTTTATGTGCCATGAGTCACAGCGTCTTCATAAACGGTGAATTGCGGTATGGGGTAAAATTTACGTTAACATACAGAACGGATCTTTGACTGCACTAAGGCACGTTGAGGAAGTTATTCTGGAAGCTGAGGTCGCCAGCGCTCTAGCTATTGGGGACACCTTCGTGTTAATGCATGATAATGCTCGACCGCATGTAGTTCCTGTTATCACCATTATTCGGAGGATCTAGGGATTACCATTATGAATTGACCAGCACGTTCCCTGGCATGGATCTCATAGAACACTTATGGGACATGATAAAAGAGATTGTTTCGTTCGCTGCGACCAATAGCTTCAAACCATTCTTGTTGAAGAATGGGATTCTCCCAGGACGAAATCCGGTCGATTATTTACTCGATGCCTACGAAACTTAAGGGCCAGAGGATGTAATAAGCGTTATTAAGAACGAAACTAGGTAATAAATTTTTAGTTAAATTTTAAACTATCATTAAATAATTTTCTGGTGTGTGGGTAAATTTTGTTTCAAACCATCACAATTAAATAGGTTTTTAAGAAAACTCATGAATTTACGATTTCGTTTAATTTGGTTAACAATAAAATAAGATTGTTGTAATTAATATAACTTAAAAAATGCATACAATTTGAAATATTGAGAGTGTCCGTTTTTGTTTTTGAGTATAATTATAATTTTCGGTGTCAAAAATAATAACGTTATATATATTATTTACATAACCAATATATAATACACCTATATACAAGTATAATAAATATTTCCCATCACATAATGAATAAATATTTAATTTTACTAGGTCGTTACAAAAGTCTTCGTGCACAAATTAAGTGTTATTTAATTTCAATGTAAAAGTAAACAAAAATATACAATACACATAGTTCCTAGCTAGCTTCACTGTTGAATTAATAACCTTGAGATCGTAATGAAGACTCTGTAACACAGTCTTCCTCATTTTTTGTGGGATTATTATTCTATTTCCTTTCATGATAATATATTGGGAGCAGGTCTCTGAAGTACCAGTATTTTTCTATTATTGGTAGGACTTAGTTTATAGAGTCTGGCCATCCTTGATGAATTACTTGCTTTAGTTGCTTCATTTCTGCATCACTCGAGTTTTCCTTAACCAGTTCTTCTAGTTTGAGTTAAAGTTAAGATAAACAACGATATATACATTGTTTACATCAACGTGGAGTTAGGATTAAAATGGCAATTTTAATATCACCAATTAATTAATGCACAAACACTTTTGTAACGACCGATATCAGTTTACTACAGAACGTTTTACTTTTCAAATTATGTAAGACGAAAAAACGCATTTTATTGTATATAGGAATTTATAATATTGTATAGTGTGTATGTATTCTGTATGACGTTATATAATAGGCCTAAGATCATGATCAAGTGCCAGGTTTTGAGTTTCACATTTATAGGTACAAAAAAAAATACATTAAATCTTCTCTATTAAAATTGACTTGAAAAATTCATACTTTCATAAAATAAACTGAGTGGTAGATTAATGGTGTGTGTGTTAGACGTGAGGTCGATGAGATAATTAGCGATATAGCTCTGTTAACTATATATAAACTGACTGTTTTAATTAATTTGGATTGGAGTTAATTGCTCCGTCGGACGGGAAAAGGGCTTATAAGACTTAGCGGTGCTTGAAAACGAAGCCGGGGGTGAAATGAGGAAAGTGAAAATACTTATTGGAAAGAGCCGGGGATGGACGGCCTGCGCTGGTGGGGGTCGGCGAGGCGCCTGGCCGTCGTCTTCCTCCTGGTGGGGTGACCCTCTGGGAAACGAAAACAGTCGGCTTTTCTTCTCCAGTTCCCAGCCGGTTGCCGTCGGGTGTGCACCACTGGAGAAACGTCGGTCATGCTCATATTCATGTTCATGTACGGTTAGTGTTGTCAGGATTGAGATCTCCATTGTTTCTAACATGCCATACATCTTCATGATCATCTTCCTCGCCCACTGGGCGACCTCTGAAACCGTCCAAGAAAAGGATACAAATCAAGGTAGTTGATTTATTTTGATAAGATTATATTCAAGTCAATCGAATAAATTAATATGTTTTTAATAAGTCACGTTTTACTTGTAGTACCACATTGTCGGTTATATGTATTGCCCAATATTGTATCCATGATCCATCATGATTTAGTTTTAAGGATTTATTTTTTCGTGTTAACACAGTTCAATATTTAATTACATTAACTAATCCGCCCGTTTTGACGAATTTAAAAAGAAACCAATCCAGATAACACAACATAATAATCACAGACGTACACAGTATACTGTAAGCATTAACTCCAATAAAACCGGTCAAAAGAAGTAGAAGAATGATTGAAAAATATGAAAAATTTATGATTGGTGAGAGAAACCAAGTCCTTGGTTCCTTTACGTTTTCTAGTGACCGGGCTTTAAAAACCTTCAGATTTCTCCATAATAAATTAATTAATTAAAAAGCCTGGGGAAGCGCTATAGTAACACGTGTTGAAAGAACAGATATCCATTTTTATTAAGCGAAAATAGCTAGATCCTACTTTAATATAATTTTAAAAAATCAACAACGGTTTAAAAATTTACATTTAAATTGTTGGTTTGGTTTACTAGAATATTAATTGTATTATATTTATTAGTAATTTATTAATTAGAAGAATTTGTTAAGTGGTTTATGCTCTGGTTAAATTAATTAAATTGCGCCTGTTGAATGGTTACGAATACATACGATCTTGCAATTCACACCAAATGAAAAATCAACAAAATTATGTACGTGGTGTACTTTTATGTTTAAAGACACATATTTATATGCAATGATACAATAAAATGATGACCAACTTGATTCATTAACAGAAAAATTTTGATTGGTTTAAATTAATAGTCATTTATACTTGGCTTTAGATAAGCAGAGAAATGTTTTTAAGTTAAATTATAGTTTGAATTTATATTAAATTTATTGTTTTATAATATCATGTATTATCGTTATTATTCAATTAATTCACTAGTTAACCAATCTGATGAGGGCGATATTTAAACTTGAAATACGAAGGGTAGAATTTTGTTCAGAATCATTTGAAAAATCATCCCAAAGGTTGACGGTCTTCCTTCGTAGGACGAAAATAGGCCGAGAAAGACAATTATTACAGGAGCTTGGCATTGCACTGGTGAATAACTAGACAAACAAAAGAAAAAGAAAAAATATTGCTAATATGTATTATAATACAATATTACTCGATTTTATAACAATATATTGTTCTCTTTGTGTTAGTCAGCAATAAGATTTTTTTTGGAAAAATCAAATTTCTTTAGGTGAAATGAGCAGGTTTAGAATACTCCACTTATATATCGAATGAATAATGATGGACAAAATATGATAAAATACAAAAAGTTAAGCCATAAAGATCAAACGGCTATGATTGTCTTACCCTCAGGGTTTGTAAATTTATTTATGAATTCAGAAAATATAATATAATTTATTTGTTATTACTTTATCGACATTATTTCAGCAATGTCCAGAACCAAGTCCTTGGTCTGTCCTACGTCTGAGAAGCGAGAAAAAAATTGAAAACCCGAGCTGGCCCCATATATCTGCCGGCTTTTAATTGAAAGGCACGAGTTAATGATTTAATTACTGAAATTTCCATCGCTAAGTTATGCACGGCCTGGCGCCGGACCTACGACCATTTCCATACCGTGTGACCACTCGGGGTTTACACAATCGCGGCAGCATTAATATTGTATAATCGAACAGAATAATATCAACACAACATAACAACTAAGTCACTGCTCAAATCACGAATGCTAAAACAAATCCCACGCCTGTGAAGATTTGCTGTTTTCCTCTTTTAAAAACAATGTACGTTCCATTGACATTAAAGGTCTATTTATTGATTATTTGGAAATCGTGAGATGCTGTCTGGTGTGAAGTAGGTCCTAAGATCTAAAAAAACATTTTCTTTACCGTGCTAACGTTTCGATCTTTATTGAGATCATCTTCAGGGCCTGGGATATATAAATATTGTTTAAATTATACAAATACATGTTGGACGTGAAAACAGTGAATTTATACAATGCTAGAAATTTTAGACTCAATCTAAGTATTTGTACTCACTATTTATTATTGAAATTAGTCGGTACTTAAAAGAGAATAGCTCATAATCTTATTTTGAGTAATTTCAAAGTACTAGAAAATATTTCATGTTGTACTCTGGCGCTCTGCCAATTCAAATTGTGAATTTAAATTTTATCAAATCATTGTAATTGTTGCTCGCTAGAAAGATTATAAATTATCCTCAAATTATTAAAGAAAGTGTAAAATTGGCTTGAATTAAGATTGGCTAAACACGATTTTGGTTTGTAATGAAGTCAAATACAATATTTACAAGGTAAAATTTTATCTTGTTATTTGTTTATGTTTATTGATCAAGCGGAAAGTATACGATAAAAATGTACATTGATAATCTCCTGTCGGTGCAGGCTCGTGGAGACCTAGAGGTCATGGTTTTTTCATAGTATATATGATCAATAGATTAAAAAATAAAAGATAATAATTGTAGATAAAATAAATTCTTTTTATTGCTTAGCTTTCAGTGATTACATCGTAGTCATAATTTATAATCAGTATCAGCCAGGTTTCAAATTATTAGCTAAGATATGTAATACAATTAAACTCGTATTTTATTTGACGATTATATTTACAAAATATTCATTAATTTGGATAACGATACCACTATTTACATACTGTACATAGTTTTTCGTGTGCACGGTTTGCTTGGTTGGTTTTCAAACAACAGTTTGGCAGAGATATAAGAGTTTTTAAAAAACATAATGTAATTCGTATTTCTTTCAAATTTAGCTGATCATAAAGATTACGTTCCCTTTGTTTTAAAATGGCGTTCACGATTAGGTATTGTGAAAAGGATGCGCCCGGTGTCTGTTTGTTCTTGAAATTCGTGACGGCTCGGCTCCCTCACCGTCATTAAGAATCGTGAGTTTGTTTAGAGTGGCTCTCTACTCTTCTTATTAGAGTCGGCTTGTAAAATCACAGAGCCTCCGAGATGGCCTACAGGGCGATCCCGATCCTTTTACCTGCTCTCCGTCCGCTATCTCGGAGATGGGCCAGATCTCTTGGACCGGTCACGGAATCCGCAACCACCCGACGGCTAATTGCGGCTTTCCCTTTTTCTTTCAGGAAAAAATCAAGTTGAAAAATTATAATCTCTTCAAAAAAAAAAAAGAAAAAAAAAGACGTAAGCCTTGAAATTAAACCACACTGTTAGTTATTTACACAAACCGTAGCAGTATATTAAGGGTTTTTTTTATCCTCACGTTTGATCGAATGCAATTGAAACACGTACTGTAGTGATTTACTGATTAATATAAGTTCAAATCTGCTTATGTACAGAGTTGAGCCTATCACCTCTCGCAGACCACCTGCAAGCTCAGCTTTTGTCAATTACAATAAATTAACGTGAGGCATGAGAATTGGGTATTCCTTGGTCTATCCGTCCAGCATCGAGTATTGTCTATAGCTAGGTCATTTCATCCACCGACGCAATCAGTATCTATATCGAAACCCATTCACCCTCTCACTCCTAAATACATTCTTTCCTATTTACGTCCTGACGTGGAATTCTCATACAGACTGAAACGCCAGGAGGTTATGACCCGATATAGAGCTCTTAACGTTCTAATTTACCTATCAAAATTAAGCTGCTTTGCAACACCATAGTTAAGGTATGGACTTACGGAGTGGAAGTGTGGGATTCAGCCATTCCAAAATCCGCCGCATTCAAACTTCCCAGTCCTTAATCCTACGAGAAATACTAGATGTCCATTTTATGTATCGAACCTAACTACACGTACAGGCTATCCCTTTCGTTCAAGATGAAATCCGTTCCCGATACCGCAAATTTCACAAAGCACTTCCAACTACTGTAAATCAGCACATCAGAAACCTCGCATACCGTCGAATCCCCTCGCCGACTGAAGAGACAATAGCCGCGAGATCTTCTAGGAAGTGATGGTGATGATAGTGAAAGTGATAATGACACAAGTTTCAATTTAAACAGACACTATATCAGTATCATTGGAGTAATACCAACGAGTATTTTATCCACTCTTGTTTTTAATTTTATACGTATTATCTTGCTCATTGTTACACGTTACCTACTTGAAGGTAGTTGTAATGTACAAATTAAAAACAAACAAAAACATACCATTCACTCAGTGATGGTAGTGGAGTACTCGATATTCCTCCATCACCCTCAACGCCTACTATAAAATAACCTAATTGAGGGTCGATTGAGTACTCAATATTCCGCCATCACACTACACATTCCATAAATACATCCACTCCTAATACACAGCGGGATAAAAGACTATCAGTATAATGTAAAATAAAACAACCCTGTTTTCTCCAAAATCGAAAATTATCAAAATTACGGTAGATAAATACTCACTATTCCGCCATCGGCCCTCTCACATTACACATTCTCGCCAATAAATGTATTCACTCTTAACTTATATATTAGGGATATACAACTATCACTACTATATACAATAAAACAACCCTATTGCTACCAAGCATCGAAAGAGGGTAATGGATGACCCACTGCTGTGCTCAACCTCAATTTTCATATTGGGTGGCATTCCTACGCGCACTCTATATAGAGCCAAGGAATTGTACCCTTTAATCAGGTGGGACTCATCGAGCAGCCTTCCTATTCAGGCACATACGCTGGCTTTGGCTTATTGTTAATCGGATGAGGATGATCCTTCTTCTACGAATCAACTCCTCCGAGGGCCACATATCTCATATCGGGGCATTCCTTCGCGCTCTCTATATGGAGCCAAGGGGTTGCACCCTTAAATTAGGTGAGACACGCATTGGCCAACCTTTCTCTACACACTGAACACATACATGGGCTTTGGCTCAAAAGTAAGTGTCCGTGTGTAAACCTCAAATGGCCTATTCTTAATCGGGTGAGGACGACACTTCTTCTAAGACTCAGGTCCT